GTCGTCGCGCGTATCGACGAGGCACCATTCTCAATTTTCGATTCATGCAAAACTTATCTCAATATCGGCGGAACACTTTGGGACACTCGATAAACAGGAGGGTACTCTCTTATTCGCCCCGACTTCGAAGAATCGTCTCTTCATGAAATTAAGTGGCGCTTTTCATTTTACCGAGACGTTAATCGGCTTTGTCTACAAATATGTCACTCCGCCGCCGGCTAGGATGCCCTAACCCACCCCGAGGTAAACTCATCTCCTTCCCGCTGAATCTTTTAAAGCTCCCGCCTACAATACTGCTTACAAAAATGGGGTCGGCCGGCTCGGTGACATTCGTTAAGATCTTTCTCCTAAATAATGCGCCCTCTACACGTCCTAACGAAGTTCGCTTTCGAGCATCTCCCGCGTATTGTTCAAGCGTTGCTGAAAATCTTCGGTTCCCGATACGGTACACGTTTAAACAATACGTGAAAAACATTCGTTCCGCATGTTTTTCTTTCAAAAGCATTTACCGTCTACTTTATTACTATTTTAGTTGAGCATCCGTTTTATTATGCTCATTTCACTTTATCTAGTAGTGAAACCCATTTCTCCTGGATCAACCACTTGAGATTCTGTGCATAATCACTTTACACGAAAATGACACGAATAGAACCAAAACGAAATTTTGAATTGTCAAATATTTATCGTATATGGTATTTCGTTTGCTTTGATCAGCCGAAATATTTCAAATGTGGCAAATAGTTTTAATTTATTGAAGGTTGGATCGATCCTGTGCGTTATTCATTAAATATTTTACCGAAATTTTGCACTGTGTCCCAAAGTTTCCGCCAAACGGTATTCGTGAACAAATGGAATGTCGCCTGTCGAATATTCGTAAAATTCGAATTTTTAAGCGAACCTGTGTTTTGGTATTGATAGAGAATACTAATTGTAACTGGAAATACCGTTGATTAATAGATATGGTTAGGCAATACTAATTCTAAACGGTGTTAGCTCTCTTCCGAAATAAATGAAAAGTTCGGGGGTCAATGATTTCTTCGACTCTGCTATAAAAGTTAAAGAGGAAGGATTCAATTATCGCGTCGGGCCGTTTATTTACGCGACAGGTAATTACTAGGTCCTTTATCAGTGTCTTCGACGATAAAAAATAGCCAGTTCCAAAGCTGCCGAAACAATGGGCAATCAATTTCTAAAAGATTTAATCAGCCGATGTCTCTCTTTCCCCATCGACAATTTATCACTGCGAGTATAATATTCTGCACCTTTCAAAATATATTTAAAACTAATCGCACGTTTCAGACTAACACAAGGTGAGTCAGTGTATAACATCAGAAAGCTTCTAAAGAAAAAAATATTCATTTCAAAGCAAGTAAATACAACGCGAAAGAAACTTTTTTGGGTGTCAGCTTTCAAAACTTCGGGGTTAACGATGTTTCTTTAATCGAAAAAACGTATTTCTACGCGTGTAACATTAATTTCGTTGAAACTTTATCCTGGTACAAAAAACTTGACTCATTATGACTCATTCTGTGTCGAAACTCAGTGTTGACATAAAATAAGGACTTGCGATTTGTCTTACTGTAACATTTATCCTTTTCTCAATCTCTCGTGTGTTTGAAAACATTCTCGTATCAATTGAATCACCTCCTCACGCGCAGGAAGTGGCAGGTAACTTTTATATCAGCTGCAAAGTTTTGTAATAAGCAAGGACATGACAATTTAATCGACTTTAATATTCTAGGCCCGTGCACCTCCACGCCATAAATTATGAAAACGATATGCTATCTTATCGCTCTCGGGTCTTAACTCGATGCATGGAGAACTTCATTATACAAGACATACCGAAACATGTACATACAATCAAATACTTCCGGATAATTTGAGGATGTAAGAATAATTTCAATGAATACATGTAAACAAACATCAACGTGTCATTTTCTTTTCAATATGTTTCGAAATAAACCGAACATGACTAACGACTGAAACACCAACGATTATTTACGATACACTCGCCGCGAAAAACTTATTCATATAATGCAAACAGATGTGTGACAGCTGCCAATATACACATCATGTTCGTTCAGCGGAAGTTGGCAGGTGCGCTGGGACTTCCGTGCGCATGATAGCATTGACACGATCTTTCGAAATGCATTCAATAAAATTCTAATTTCCGATACTCCAACTAAATTCGTTCGAGACATTCGATAATTCAAAATCAATCGTGTTAATCGCCCTGATATTAACAATAAATAGTCATCCTTCGAAACTATATCGTATTCAGTCGTTAAGCATTGCGCGAAATGCGAATACACGTACAGACAACTATCCGAAAGATCCGTTTCGCCCGATTTTCCAAGATTTCCATCGGTAACGCGTTACGATCGAGGAAACTAACGCTGGCGATCGATTTCGTTCGATCACCGCGGGATATCGTAAACGTTAAGACGAGTTTCGGGACCGTCGAACGTCGTCGTCCGGACTCCCGTTTCGTAGGCGCGGAACGGGGGGCTGAAGGGACGCGAACAGGTGAAAAAAAAGGCACGAAAAAGGCATTGAAGAGGGCTAACGCCGTGTGGTGTTCCCCCGGGAGTGCATGGTAAAAGAGAGTACGTTCCTGCGGAACGATTGTACACGGAGAAAACACGGATAGGAGAGAAAAACGTGGGTGAACATACCGACGCCGTTCGCCTGGCAGGACTGAAGTTGCACGGCGACGCTGAACCCGCGTAGCTTCACCGGCGCGGAATTTTCCTTGCCCGCCAGGAGGGCGCATTGCGGCTTTAGATCACGATGAATTATATCGTTCTCGTGGCAGTAGCGTAACGCCTCCAGGATCTGTCGCATGTAATGGCTGGAAAACGAAAGCTACGGTTATATACTGGAGACGCCGCGGAGGGAAGAAAAGTTGGAAAGCGAAACGCGTGTCGTTCTCCGAGGGTGCACACCCTGACAAAATAATGGGCCGCCTCTGTGTTCCTAATGCTCGTTCGAAACTGGCGCAACGCGCGAATAAAAACACGCGCCGAGGAAAGTATCGGCCGCGGTTCGCGCCGCTTCTTCGGAAATATGGAAATTTCACGCGAAGCTCGCGCGAGACCTTCGAGCGAACGGAGGAAACGAATTTTCATAGTCACGTGAACATCCGCGATCCGGTAATAAGATTACGACGTGAGATCTCCGGGAGTAATATTTTCGAGAAATATTGGAAACTCAAGGCTGTCCTATTATTTTGTCGCGGGATACGCCGGGGGAAAATCTTGTGTCCTGCTGGGACGTAATATACAGTAAAACTAGTGCAAAGCTATATTATTGATCACGGTGCACGATGTTGCGCTGAAAGAGATAAAAATGTGAGAATGTGATGTGTGTCAAGCTGAACGTTGACAGAAACGTGAATTATACGTTGATCCGTTGTTGACGGAAAGCAATGATGTTGTCTTTGGTAATAAGATTATACGATAATTCACTGTGGCGAATTATTTGGGTAATCGGATCACCGTATTGAAGATAATACGCTCCGTGTGGACTTAGGCGTGGATTATTTGCAGTAACAACGTTGCGCGATTTAATAACACGTATTTCCATAAACGTCTTGCTATCACAACGTATTCAAATATTTATTATTTCCATATAGTAATTATTAAATCAAACGCGATAACAGATACGAAGACTAATTACTCGACTTTGTTCCATGCAACGCACACTTCATAGATCAATCTAGCGTGATTTGCGGGAGAACCTGTTCGAAACTAGGGTATGTAGATGCAACGTGGATAAAATCGAAAGTACCGAATTATAGCTCGTAAAAGGCAAAGAACAAGAATTACGTGTTAAGTGGAAATCCTTCGTACCGTGGTTGTTTCGTTTTGAGAATTCCTTGGCAATTTGCATTTTATTAGACAGTTAGATTCCATTAGCAATTCACTTTCCGCTATTCACTGTACACGTGTTATTACGTTGTTGTGGAGTACTTCACGATAACGAGTAAAAATAACTGCTAAAGAGGATGTTAATGAACGGAGATCCGTTGAACGCTTCATTTGCTAATATTCGATATCGTAGCATCAAAATGCCTCTGGCTTTTGTGTAATCCAGCTCTATGAAACTGCTAAATGCAGATGTTCGAAGTAATAACCAGGGGCAACGATCTAAACTCGACAACGCGTTCCGCGAACGGTTTTGGACCTGACACGCGTCTGCACTGTCCGTCACGTGACCGGTTAGTTTACTGCTATTTAACAGACACGGTTTTGTAAACAGAAGGTCGGAATCACTGCAAGAAACTGACACTTGCTTGTAAAAAACGGGATACGCGGAGCAAGCGCCCGTAAACACCGCGGAGGTTCGCTGACAAGCAGAAAATCGCGCGGAGATGTTTCTCCGATGTACGGTTTAACGAAAAGCACCGCTATTAACAGACGAAATCTATTAAAAACAATTCACTTGTTCGATCAGAGATACTTTTGGAAATCAATATTCTTATCTCCTCATTTGTGATAAATACAAAGTTTAATGTAACGAGCAATACGACGAAGATTCATAAAATTTGTACATTGTCTTAGGAGCAAGAAATCTTTCATCGAGACAACGGAATATGCTAATTCTCTAACGAAAGAAATGAACCTCCAGTGTCAGCAGTCTGCTAATTATAGCGTCCTTGCGACATTAAACTTTCATATGAACTGTAAAAAATTTAAGTGTAAAGTTCGAAAGTTAACTTTAAATAAACACCGACATAAGAGGATGCAGTATAGAATTTAAAACTTCTGCGGTGGATAACGCAAATTATAGTACGGTTCGATAATTCATTCCACAGGATGTATCTACGTGATGAAGGTATTCGATTATTGAAGACATGGAACACTTTGAACTGAAAGTTTCGGGTGCACGTATAATTTTATGCGTATATAACACATCAGTTTTACCTGGCAACTGCTTCACTATAGACGAAGCCAGCAGTTGCTCTCCGAACGACCTCGAAGCATAAATCAGAGCCATCCATACTGAAACAGAAGCACAGCATTAACATACAGTTTACAAAGTACAAGTTACGGGTGGTCTAGAAAAAAAACACGTCGTCATCCGTCGTTGCGCTAACATCGCATAATCTTAAAAAAAGCTACACGCGAACTGCAACTTGGTCTGTTTCAACTCAGAGAAAAAGCCTTCGAAATGCATTTAATATCCGATTGTGTTGTTTCAACCCTCCTAATAAGGGATCACACCGAATCCATGAATTTTTATAAAACGTTGACGAAAACTAGCTTGCACAAAGTAACGCGATATGCAGTTATTTTTGTGTCAGGCACAGCCCTAAAACTTGGGGGTGAGAAACGTATTTGATTGAATATTTTTGGAACCATTGAAAAATATATTTTTCGAAGAACTATTTTCCACGAACGGTTTATAAGGAACTTGAAAAAGGATTTCTGCGCGTTTTTACGAATACTCTTGAAAAAGACACCAAAACATGCTGTTCCTCAAGGAAAGTTACTTCGTTTTTTAAAACGAATCTCTCAATTTGCCAAGAAATGATTCAACTAAACACGTTAATACCTTCCCGATTCTACCATTAAAAGTATTCCACGGATTCTGTGTAATTAATTCAACGTCGGTTTAATCAATACAGGGTCACGTGGTAGCTTTGAAAAGCAGGTGTCGTGAAACTAAACGAAGAGATAAGAGGAATAGTCGAAACCGCATTTACACGCGAGATAAAAACGCAGTTAACTTCTACCTTCAGGAAAGCATCTTTCAAGAGTCTTTCGAGGCGCTACCTGAAAAAAGCGAATACGAAGTCGAGCAACGCGACGCTTTTACCTAAATCATGTTTCTCTTGCTTGATATATTTTCGAATTGAATGCCGGAAATACGAAGAAATAACCTCGGACGTGTTTTCGCTGCGGATAAAGAATCGGGAAAATAATAAAAATGAAAGGTGGTCGAGGAGTTCCCGTCGCGTCTCGTTCATTAATCGTTTCAAGAGTGAACTTGATGTTTTTGTTTTCATACTTACAATTCGAATACCATATACAGCATACCCTCTGAACTGTACGTTTCGAGCAACTCTACAATGTGGGGGTGTTTCAACATGTGGCATATCGTTGCCTCCCGCTTCAGATCTGCAGCAAGCGTTATAAAACTTTATTTCCACTCTGACCGCGGGACGCGGGCATTTTTAGACATTACGTGTGACGAAGTGTAACATGATCGGGAACAATGATATGAATAGTATCAAATGTGTGCGCACGTGTGAAACAAAAGGTAAATATTTGATTATCTCCGTGCCCGTTCCCGTTACTAGACAATACTGTTTACTCCGAGGTCATATCGATAAATTCATTCAGTTTTAACTTCATATCCTAACGTAAATTCAATAAAAAGAAGTCTCGTTTAAGGAATTACCTTTATCGAGTAAAAACGTAATATTGATGAAAGAATTTGATCATTCGGACACTCCAAGGATTAATAATAAATATCTGTTTGATTGTTTGGAGTGTAAGGGGTATTTGTTGGCGAACACTATTCTCATTCATTTCAAACGTGATTCGTGGCAGTTGACTAGTATTTGTATAATTTTTACAATAATCCCACGATGTGTACGAACTTTCGAATTACATTTTAACTGTGACGCATTTTCGTAATATTATTAACCCTTAAAACGACGTAGCTCCTCTTCATTTATTATTAGAAATACGTGGCTCTTAGACACATAGGTGTACAAAAAGGACAATATTTATTATTAGACATATAAAAATATACGCGACGAGCACTCGGTTAGAAAGCTTCCTCGCAATGATTCTCTTACGTGCTGCGAGTAATCATGATGATTACCTCATTAGCGTTCTCTTCGCGAATGCCTTTTACGTAAAGATTATCGCGCATTGAAAACGTTGTTCGTTCGTCGATGCGCGTTTATAATAATACGTCCACACTGTATTTGTAGGAAAGTGACGGTATTCTTGTTTTTCTTTTCCTATTTATAAACTACGCGTATGGTACTATTGCGATCAATGAAAACGTATTTTATACACGTAGATTATTACGTATTTTTATAACAGTCCACGCGAAATTTTATGAAAGAATTTGTCGAGACGATCAATCGACGATGCGAGACGAATGACACGCGGGATATCTCTTTACGCTAACAAATCATTAACCAATCAGATCAATATTCTTATTATCAGTACTCGGATTACGTTCTAATAATTTTCGAAGCTTCCAATAATTTAGAGTAACAACAGAACCAGACAATAAATCGTCGTTTGGGCTACTTACAAATGAAAACTATGAAATTAGATAATTCGTTAATGTAACAAATTTCTGAAAAAGTAAGCTATATCTTAACATTGTTCCCGAGTCATTCATTTCACATATCATGTAACTCTCATAATTATTCAAAACCATGAGCTTGCTCAAAACTGACTTCAATTCAATATTCATTACACGAGTGAAAATCGATATAAATTACCAAAACGAAAAAAGAATACGCACATATACACGTATAATTCCCGCAAACAGCAATCCCGCAATCTGAAATCCCCTTGAATGATTTATGATTCCCTTAAATCACCCGTTGAACTGGAACTCGCGTGCCAATTACCCGCCGCGATCTGCGACCCCATTCTTCCGATAAATAATAGTAACAATGTCTCGCGTATCGTCGAACCGCCAACGAAATATCCCGGCAGCAACACCGGGATTTACCGCCCTTCCCGAAAACTCTCGAACACGTACCAAATTAAGATCCACCGGCGGCGTGCAGACGTTCACAGCAACGAAACCAATTCCTATTGAATTGCACAATGAGCGGCGCGGAACCACGTGCCCGTGAGCATCGATGTGCCCACGTGCGTGTGTAGGTCGTAAAAGAGAATAGGGAAACAAGGAAACGAGAAGAGGCACAGGGAATACGTTATGTTTCGAACAGCCGCGGCGGAAATTAATGGCAGAACACCAAAGATGCGTGCGTATGTGTGTGTATGAGTGAGTGAGTATGTTGTACGTGCGCACCATCCCCCCTCTTCCTCGCGAGGACTTACCATTTGTACTTAGACCAGGGCTGGAGGTGAACTTCGCCACGTCGACGATTTTCACGGCGAAAGTCTGCCCCGTCTGACGGTGAATGCATTTCCGAACAACGCTGAATGGGCCCCTGAAACAAACAAGAAAGAAGGGAGGCCGGAATGATAATAATCGGGACACCGCGGTTCCGTTACAATCGTTCATGCTCCATTACGCGCGTTGTAAACGCGATATCAGGCTTAGCGCGGGACCCCGCCGAACGAACTCTATTAAAACCCGATAACAGGCCGAGTAATTCGTCAAATGCCGATGACGCGTGCGATTCGCCGCGCGTCCGCAACCAGCCGTCGAATGGAACTGTTAACTTTTGTGAATAAAAGTTATTTATCGAACTTTTCATTGGGAAATTGTCTCTTTCATATTTTCCGTTGAGGAACATTGATGTAATCTTGTTGAGTGAGAGTTCGGCTTTAACAGTTGTTTTATGATTGATTAACGGAGATCTTGGAGGATCATATTCTTCTGAACGAACATTTAAGGGTGAAATATAAATGTTCATTTACGTAATTCAAGGAATTAAATGGAACTAAACATCAACGGTGTTTTCAACTGTAGATCCATGTGTTCCACAACATTTCTGGGAAATCCGTCGCAACTTTAACCATTTTATGAGAGAAATAAATGTTTCTGTTTCAATAGAATCTTCTACATTCAGGAAGATAAAAGATTATTATTTATAGAAAGATATATGGAATAAAAGTTTCATAGTCATAAAGTTAGTTACTTTATAAATAATTAAACATGTTGTTCACTTGGCCTCCGTAGCCGAAAAAATATATCTCACCATGTTGTTATTCGGATTGATTAGACGTTGTAGAGATCAGTCGAATTTGAACGATTGCGAAATACTAAAAAATATTTTTTTAATGTTCTGTTGTGTGTGAATAATATTGAAAATCAAGTAATTCCAATTTTAAGTTTGTACAGTATTAACAAATATATCTATTGATTGTTAAGCGTTCTATCGAAAGCTAGAAAGAATAACGTGATTCTATAGTTCATAAGAAAGTAAATTTTTTGTTTTGCCTACACAAGATATAGTCGATGTCGAACCCAAGATTGCCGATGCACTTTATTAATGATCATATCGTTGCTCTTGAAGAGCACTTTGGTGCTTATAGCGCAGAGATAAAGCAAAAGGGTCGCGAGTAACACAATAAAGTCAGGAAAATCAAGATGGGCTTTTCTCAGTTACTAGTTTAGTGTAACATCTTTACAATGGATCCTTGGTTATGCGCAAGGTCGAAACTAATTATCGTTTCTCGCAATTAGCAACATTTCGTACTTAACTTTCATTATATTCATTATTTTTAAGTTTGTTAAAGTATGTATTATAACACTTGAAGTTATTCTCCACCGACAATCATTTTTACCTAAAGCAATAAATTCATAAAAACTCTCTCCGTATTAATTATAAATCTGAGAGAAGAAGAATGAAAATAACTGATACGTTTTTCCGATACCATGTCAATTTTATCTGCTCAAATATCTTCAGATTAAATTGTGCGTGCTCTATTTATAAACACTCAATTGTAAGAACGAGAAAAAACTGCAAATTAATTAAGATAGAAGAACAACTGATTGTGAGCTAATATTATGTATATTTTTATTTGATTATGAAGACACGATATCAATAATTAAACGTATATCGTTGGATAATAAGTATTCCAGGATGATATTGTTCCTTCGAAGAATGGCGACTCGAATCAACGTCTTCTTAGAGTGAAAGTATTAAGATAATCGAGATATGCACCGTTCTATAAGACAATGATACTCAATTAATAAGTCACTAGAATAACTCTCGCCAACAAGGTAAACATCTCATCGCGCTGTAAGAAGATTGCGATGATCGTCCAGAAAGTTGGTATAAAGAGTCCTCATACAGCTCAAAGCTTTTCCTCCTCCACCATCTTCTTTCGACGATGAACGAATTATGGAAAACGACGTTCTCTGCCTTTCGATGTTAAAAGCTTTTCTACGAGACAGTCTATAGAGAATCGGTAAGGCCGCTGGCACGCTAACATGTTCCACTTTTTAGAAGAAATTATCGACATCTTGTTGTTCCTTAACGACAGGCAATTAATGGTGATCGCTCTATCATGCAAAATTGTCTCTTTAACGTTATATATGCTGTTGAGTTACAGAAAACATTTTATACGCAAATAAATATTTGTATGTCAATGATGGAAATCTAAAAATTCTTCAAAATTTTTAGAAGCTTTTACTTATTTTGTAATGACCAAGTTACCCTTATCTGTTTCTCTTTTTTCTGTTGGTTTAAAGTCGTACAAGTAATTTTCATGTAATATTCATACAACGATAAGGATACATTATACAAGATAACGTATCCACGGAAAGAGAAGAATACGTAAATACATTTGAATTACAAAAGTAGAATACCTGAACAAACACCTGAATTTACCTTACAAATACGAGAGCACGTTCCTTCGAGGGAGGAGTAGTAACAGTTTTTCTCACGATAAGAGCTTTACACTTAATTTAATATTGTGCAGTTAAGCGAATCACACTGTAGATACAATGCAGTCGCCGAATCGGATCACACTAACGTCAGAAATTACGTTATTTGACCTTACTGCAACCTACAAATGAAGCCACAGACGGCTGTAATTGAGCTCCCAGCATTTATTGATACAGTGTACGTATTCATTGTAAATGCTTTCGAAATAGTTAGAACGTGTTCCTATTCTCATTGGATTCTATTGTAGCGGCTAGCGAGCACGACATAAAGAAACATTTGGCGTGCAGACGGCCAGTATGGTTTACGACAAGCAGGTCAGCGAAGCTACTTTTGAGAAAGTCGTTTTTCGAGAATTATTGCCAAGCTTGTTTCTCCTTCGACAATATTTGCAGACCGCCGCAGTAGCAAATTGCAGATGTTATGAACCATGAATTTCCGAAGGGATGCAAGACATGGTCAAGCCACCCTCGGCGAGTGACGTCACGAGGCTTGGGCCTGGAGGGAATTTCGCTGCGTTGCCAAACTTCCACTAAGAAGTACTCCCCCATCAAAGCGCACTGTCTTTCCACAAAAAACGCTAAGGGCGCAAAGAATAGGCGGTGATTGAAAATCACCGGAAGTACCTGACTGGTTAACGTCAATACGCTGTTTAACCAATTAGGGAAAATTCACCACGAAGCTTCCTGTGAAGCAAGGATAAAAAGACAGTCGTCACGAACAGATAGTCATAGTCAACAGTTAATAGTCAAGACTTGTCTGGTTAAATAAAGATTTATTTTAAACTTGTGAGAATTAATTTCGACGCACCTGATCACCTATACGCTGAAGTACCTACCAAAGATTAGTAAATTATTTTCGTTGATCTAAATTGAAGATTAATATTAATTCCGGAGAAACTAAAGCATTTATAAAATTTAGATCGTGTACAGTGAATAAAACATAACACTGTATATTTCGTGCAGTGGTGAATTATTGAAATACCTTAAATAAGCATTTAATGTATTTAAATGAGCATTAAACTAAATTTCCAATTAAATCGTTTCGATTAAAATGATATATTTCTAAGTGACTAACCGAGCACATTATACGAATACACCGCCCCGACGCGAGATCAAAATTCTCACTCGAATCCGAAGCAATGAACGCATATATTTGTATTCGGCCAGAGGGAGCGACGAATCTGGTACAATTAGGTGGGACGCATTTCCCTATGGAATCGGAAACGACGCTCGGTGTCAAAGTGCATCGTTCACGTCCCGCTGCATCGACATTAATGTTCCACCCCTATAGTTCAGTTGTTTCCACATTATTGGACGCGTATAGACATGACGGACACGCTGCTCGCGAACAGGAAACAAGGGGAATAGGAAATTGAACTTGATAAATGGAATTATTAGAGAAACTCGGGAATAAATAACACCCTTAACAAGCGTCTGCAGTATTTCGGAACTCGCCGAGGCGAGTAAAATGCAGTTCCCGTGCCTGACGAGCTCATCTTTGATTTATTAAATTGCACCGTTTAGAACGCTTCGCTTCCCCTTTGAGTCACACACACAAATACAAAGGCTTTGACGATGAGCGCTGTATAAAAGTTCGTGGAAAACATATTTCGAATACCGTTCAAAATATTGGGCGCACCGTTCTAAATATAGACATTTGAATTCGATAACCTTAAACGGGAAGGTTTTCATATTGAAAAATTCTTTGTGCACGTGTAAGTGTTCTTCGAATACGGATTCATCCCACTTTATGGATTATTCTTCAATTGTTTTTGAAACTTCGGATCCAATTGTATCAAGCAAATTAGTGGTTAAATATGTTTTCATTCAGTTAGACAACGAAGCGGCACGTGCCCTCCCTGTTTACTCGGTCCTCGCACCCCACAAGTTCAAAGTTTAAAGTTTATTCACTCTGTCCGTATCTCGGAAACAATGGAGCGCCGGTTCACGTGCGGGGAGGTCGGTCTTTTTCATTGGCGTCAGGAAGATTAACTTGATTTCACCGAGTCGATCTCACTGGATACTCGGCGTGGATCAAAGTTTCTTGCTTCGATATCATCAACTATACGACCCGACTGGGAGAAGCATGCCTGCCTTCTCGGTTCAGGACAAAAATAAGTTACGCCCTTGATGTATATTAAATACGACAGTGTACGGAAAATATCAATGCCAGCATTCTGTGCGTTAACCTTGGACCGATTTCCCGATATCTTTCACGTGTTAATTGCTGGTAATTAATATGCGATTATGATTGTACCGAGGAGTAGAAAACACGTGAACCGATGCAGACAATTGACACTGCAGCTTCGAAAAAGTATTTTAACCAGTCTGCATTATGGGGTAGCTGTAATTTGACGAGTTTGTTCTAACCACAGTCTCAGCTGAATATTTCCACAACCCAACTGTGTAAACTGACCTTTCAAATGTTAGTACATGTATAGAATGTAAATACAATGGAAAACGTATTTGGTGCTGCCTACTTGAAACGATCTCGTATTCCTTGAAAGTAAAATATCAGTGTAAATTAGAAACGACATCATCCTACAGCAACCCTTAACTTTTAGTTCATAAAATGTGAATTTATTGTATACGAATTATCAGTTGTATTTCTTGGATTATTATTTTAATATTATCCATTCGCTTGCAATCGAAATGGGACATTATTTTTTGGCGAAGTTTGCCTTCATTTGTAGCGAACCGTCGACTTTAAAGTAGCTCTGATAAATGCAGTTTGCAGATGGAAATGAAACGCAATTGCATAATTTCAAAGAATCTTTATCGAACTCGCAATGTATGCATTTTCACAGGAACAAGAAGAATACTTGGTAAAAACGTTTAAATTGATACATTCTTTAAATCGCATTTCCATCAATGATAAAGAAGATTTTTAAAAAAACTGTCAACCCAAATAAGCTGCGCGTCTGACGTATCGTGGAAATGATTAAATCCGTATTTCGCGAACGAACAATATAAACGATAAAAAAAGATTGATAACTGCTAAATACACACGATTCAACGTTACTGTGTCTGATTGTTACATTAGTAACTGTTGAATTCAGCGACATCGAAGATAACGCGTGAACAAGACGGAAAGCGTATCAGGAATTCAATTACAATACTATGCCAAAACACCCGATTACCAATTCTATTTTTAAAAAGCTCAGAACTTAACAAGTCTGTTTTCACCTCAAACAACCGAACAATGCACGGATGAATCAATGAACCGAAACAATGCACGAAGATTAAATTTCACTGTATTTCATCTATTGTAATTAACTCGCGGATAAGCGAATAAAGTATCGGCGTTGGGTTCAATGCACAGATGTCCTTGCTCGAATTAAAAATCATTCGAATTCGGTTAACACGGTAAGCGAGGTGCACGAATCGATTTATTGAAACCACCGATCGTTACTCATCCTCGACGCTTTATCTACAAACCGCGATTAAGAAATGAACAAAATATCCTCAACTGTCGTTATCATTTTCAAGTACTCGTGAATCCACTTCACTGAGACCTCAGAAGCTCGATGTCGTCAGTCGAAGGAACTGAAGATTATAAAAGCCAGAAGAGCACACGGGCAGGCAACTCCTTTTATAAGCCGCACAGTCAACAGATCGTTACCGTAAATCATGCTATCATTTATTTTATTACTTGCATGTTCGTATCTCGTTACAGCGACAGCTTCGGGTGAGTTCTGTTTCGTGATAGTTGAGGAAAGTGATGGACCGCTGCTAGTGCGAGGATAAACCTAACTTCTGTTTCAATTTCTCAGGGGTCTGTGAAATAGACATATCATACAATGACGGGGACTTGAAGCTACCGCAACCGCTGGTCCTGACAAGCGATAGCAACGAATTTTTCTATCCTAACACGGGAAAACAATCCACGTTGGTACTGGAAACAGGAAAGTCTATTGCTCTAGCATGTCCAGGTGCAGGGAATCTCATCGTCGACACCAAGGTTCAACTAGCAACAGCCACATGCGAAGAGGATAAATACTTCACCATTAACGGAATAAGCCGAAACTTCTCAACGATAGTTTGCAAGGCGAGACCTGCGATCAGCGCTAACACTTTGAAACAGAAATGTCTCCAAAAGTACACTTCGGTCGCCATCGGTTTTGAATTCCAAAAGAAATTCCTGACCACGATAGAAGTGTGCCGTGACGATCAGACCTACGAGACTTACTATACAAAGTTTAAGCTGACTAAAAAGATTGGACACTACCAAGAATCTTCAAGGTAAGTCAAGTTATACTTATTTGTAATTCAACATCCGACGTTTCAGATTATCATATCGTATTAGCTACTGATTGAATTTTATGGTGAAAGTACGGTATTAATACGAAAATTTATATCGCGTAAAAAAATTCCGTGTAAATCGAAAGACATATATGCAGACCTAAATAGCACTTTTAATTATTTCTCGCCACTCAATTGAATTTTAAATTGCGACACGCTACTTTAATTTGGCTTGGAACTCGAAATTTGATTTTCTTAAATACGTTTAATCAGTAGCAATGTTGCTCCTTTCCTCGATGTAGAAAATAGTTTCGTACGTTGAAAAACTGGTCACGAATCGAAGAAACATTCCTTTTCAAAATTTACTAATATAGTAAAAACTGTTAGAAAATTATGAATACATGGAATGCTATTTAAACGCTATCACGCCAATATTACCAAACCTAACATTCAAATTCTCACGGATTATAGGCCAAAAAACTGGCTGACAGGACAGTATTTCAAGGGTATGCAATTGGAGAAACTATACAACTTGGAAAACCAACGTACGTCGATCAATCGGATCCTAAATGTATCGGACATAACGAAGTTTGTAAACGAAAGCATGTACCTGTCGCGTGGACATTTGGCCGCGAGGTCAGACTTCGTCTACAGTAACCAGCATTACAGCACTTTCCACTACCTGAACGCGGAGCCGCAATGGACCACGTTCAACGGAGGAAACTGGAAGACTCTAGAGGAGAATGTTAGAAGCTTTTCCGCGAGGAATTCTCTGGATCTAGAGGTTTACACCGGTGTTCACGGACAAATGACCATGAAGGACAGCGCAGGACTTTCGAAGTCGATCGAATTGAACTACGAAGGTTCGAAGCCTCTGTCGGTGCCGAGATTCTTTTGGAAGATCATCTACGACCCGGCGAGCAAGAAGGGCACCGCGTTCGTAGGATTAAACGATCCCTTCATAACCGCCATAACGCAGGACGTGTATTTGTGCAAGAACAGGATCGAGTCGAAGATAAAGTGGCTGACATGGTCAAAGGAACTTAGAGCGGGTGCCTCGTACGCATGCTCTGTCAGTGAACTTCGCACGAAAATTTCGACAATTCCACCGTTGAACGTGGTAGGTGATTTAATATAACTATATTTGGCGTACCGCAGAGTATAGCCTGTAACAACAGGAACACTCGAGGCAAGGATCCTTGCCAAATCTGACCCTTGACACAATTCCGGAATATTGAGATACGGTAGGAATGACTGATGCTGAACAGAAATTCTAACGAGACGTAATGAAATCGTGATCTGTGTAAATCGTGTTGTGAATTTCACTTTACTGTTTGCTCACTGGCGAAACTTGTGGCTTCGGATAGTTTCCTTTTTTCGTTTGTTTATCGATACCATATTATGTGTGATTCTGCGGTGGAGAAATAGTTGTGCTTCCTTTGAACGCGTAATCCCCTAGCATAGAGAAAACAGCAGTTTCGGATTGATAGGCGTTGAATTAACTGGCGATTCGCTTATTCGATGTCGACGGAGCGACAAAGGTACTTACAATGATAAGAATTCAAGGGGAATGAAAATCTCGTGATGCAACGAGTATAGCGATGCTATTAAGAGTGCAGAAACCTCAGTCGTAAAGGGAAAGATGTGATTAAATGTATTATTACCGTATACACAAATATGTTTTCAAGAACAAACAGTAAATGCAGAGATAAATATATTGTATGGCATCGTTTCATGGAGTACAGTTAATTAAAGCCAGTGTTCAACTGAGAGAGAGAGAGAGAGAGGGCGAAAATTTCTTGAATAAAAATGAGCAATGTTTATATGGGTAAGAGTGCCTACGTACTTACACATGTAGATACATATCTTTGTTTCACACTGAATATTTTTGATACTACATTATAATTACAAAAGATAGAAGAATTTATTCACGATTTCAGGGAGCGGATCTATAAAGCATATTTCTGTATAAATCTATGTATCCTACATAATGTTGAAAATGATATATGTAACAAATAACTATTACAAATTATAAAATTTATTGAAACGCGATTTTACATAACTTTTCAATGAACGCCGAATCGTTCCATTGGAACCTTGCAGGCATTCTCCATAAATGATATTTCTGTCGGAGTCATTGTTCCTTGATACTAAAAGAGTACTGAAAAATTTGTCGACAATCTGATGGATTACTTTCAATAGGTAGGTGATATTAATACTATTCTGACTCCTTTATCCAATAAACTTTTAATTAGAATTAAAAAGAAAATAAATTGAATATCATTGTCGACGGACATTAAATCGAGCATCGTATATGTATGCTCCATTAATGAACTTCCAAAGGAAGTTTCAACAATCTCGGAAATCACAGTAAACCAAGTTCTGGAATCTTTCTAACAATAGAACCTGTTAAAACAGAGATACTTGCGAAAGCTAACTCTTGCTAAGGTACCGAAATGGTAAAATCCACTACGAATAGTTGAGGTGAAATCAAAATTGCGTTGAAATATAATGAAATTCTCTGTGCAACGTATATCGAATTTTATTGAAATACTTATCCGCTAACGAATTTTAGAGTATTCGAGTATTATTCTAATTTCATTAAAAAATATACAATTTTCTCTATACATAAAATGTTACTATTTGATTAACGTAGCATGCTTATAAAAAATAATATAGTCATTCAATCAACACTTCGATGGCCGTTCAATTATTGATTTATATTAAATAAATTTAACTTACTAATTGAATTATCTTAGCAAATAAATGGATGAAATGTAAAATTCAGTAATGTTATTCATAATTTGAAAATAAAGATTAAAGTTGTTATAAGAGTACCGTTAGAATGTTATGTTGTTCACGTGATAACGATACTATGTGTGATATCATTTCACAGATTGTCACTTCACAATTAATTAAAATTAATAGCACTGGCATGATACAATAATCAACTGTGTATCGTTTTAAGTTAACAATTGGCTGAATGCCAGAGAGCATTCATAGAAACTAGATAATGCGTCCGCCATAGCGGTAGTAATTAACTCGTTTCCAGAAACAATTCAAAAATGTGATAATGAAACATTGTTTTTCTGCAGAATTAATTGCATTCAAACGCAATTAATACCAGCTTTATCATGTTTCTTAATCTATTTTCTTCTTTAATATTTTGAAACCAATAGCATTAGTTATTTCTCTTGAATGTTACCGGCGCAATTAGATACACCGCATCGGAATCAATGAAATTTCCAGGAAAGCAATTTTAAATAATAGAAAAGTCGTAAGAACGAATGACTTCAGACTAGTATAATTCAGTAATTCATGAAATTGAATAATAAAAGATTCAGAATGCTTTTACACAAATCCGTTATACTTGTTCTAACAACTGCTGTTCATAGAATGCAGTACAATTAAAAGCACAGTCTTCGTTTATTGATCTCGTCCAAAGTATAAATATTTGGTGGCATCAATTACGCATGACGGCGTGAAGTATCCTTTCTCTTGCACTACTGTTACGTGCATCCATATTTGAAACGCGCACACGTACGAACGGCACGGCGAAATTAATCCCTCGGTAACCTTGAACGACTACTTGGACTTGTTTGTATGTAATTTAGTGGTAATCGAGCGTATTACCAATAGCATTGAAACCAGATCAAAGTAGTACTCGCTTAATGATTAGCCAAGAACTACAAAACTAAGCTTTACGCTGGGATATTGATCGTTACAAGTGTAATGAGCTAAGATAAGCGGAAGTTCCTGCAAAAAACTTCTCCTTAATACCCTCGTGGAGAACGGCTTGCAACATCTTAGATAAGAAGATAACTTTATCGACGACTTCACTGTGTGGTAAGCCCCAGCCGAAACATACCCCTTTCATTGTGCACCCTCCTTTCCTTTGTCCTTATCCCATTATAACGGCCAACGTGCTGACCCCAACCTGATCAATGAAGGCACGAAGAACACCCAATCATCGAGGCAACCAAAACATATAACGTGAAGTAATATAATCGAGACACACGCTCTAGAAACACGTAAATAATCTCAACGAACGTTCATGCATGACTGTACAATTATGAATAAAATGATTAAAAAAAGAACTATCTTAGAACTGATACAATCCCAAGACTTTTGAATTGCTCTGTATGTACACGTTAGATACTCCGATGAATATTTCGGTTTACGACAGAAACAATCTTATCTAATTGATCAAACGGTAAGCAGAACTTCCGAAGTGAAAAGCCATTTTGTTTGAATCCCATTTAGAATGTTACAGATCTCTTCTACGCGGGACTTTTGCATTAAATCCAAACAATGCGATACTCCGAGAACGTATCTTATCATCGTCAATGCGCCAACGCAATATTCTTCACAATTAAGTTCAAGGTTAAATTCCATCAAGAATGTACTCCGACTTCTAAGAAAGCTTGCTCGTACGCACAGCCGTTGTGTCCATGAGCATTCACAAATGATTTACGAGGGAGATGAAAAGTAAGGCAGCGCCCTAAAAGAAACGGAGACCGAGCTTTCCATCTCATCTTGAATATACTGGTACTAAACTTTAGCTCTGCAAATGGCATTTAGTATTTCATGGAGCACCTCAAACAACATTCAGTGCCCAGAGCGGCGGTACGATAAACGTGCACGGCCCTACGACAATTTTCCTTCAATTTTTCAAAGAACAGTATATCGATTTTCCTCGATTCACTTACTCGTCAATGAATTACGTTCTACTTTACTGTTTTGAAATTTCTCTCGGCACTTACAAGCTTTTCACTTAACTCTCCTTAATCTTTTAACGTGCCATTTAGTCCGCGGTAGTTATTGCATTCGTGAATTTCAAATGAAATTTTAGACTTGTTCTCGTTTGACTATCAGAAGGAAATTGACAACGCGTGTTAGTGAACTATAGTTCCTTGAGGCTTTCAGAGGTAAACCATGCTCAGTAGGAAAGTTTCCCCAACATTTCGCCACCATTGCAACTTGCTTCATCAGGGATCAACGACGAATTGATAGAGACCCGCTATCTAATCGTGAAGTGTTGAGAAAATTTACTTACGGTTGATACCCAGAAGCCTCATACTATCGTAATTTTTCGTGCATATTGTCAAAGGAAAAGTAAATTTATCAGGTGAATTTTGAAATAAACTCGGAATAAATTCGAAATGAACTTATAGAACGGAGTTAACATCGCACAACGTAAATCAAATCGTTACCAATAATACATGGAAATTATATATAAAAACTTTGCGTGCTACAGTTTCGCGTATATTTTACCAAAAACTTGCCTGTATATTGGTATTTTTATTACATTCCAGTATAACACAGTTACGGGGCGTGGAGTATTTTATCAAACAGTTCAACAGTTTTTCAATATAGACGAAACGCGTGCGAAGGCGCAACTTCATTAAACAATTCTCAATTATGAGTAACGGAAAAATGTGTCGTATTTTTAACAAAAAACGAAATTTTCTTGTAGCGATAAATAAACATTTCTGTAACAAATATTGAACTCAAAATTGAATAGAAAAATGGAACTGTCTTACCATTTTCAAGATTTTGTTTCTCATTATATGATTCTGAGGTGCAGAGAATCACTGGAGTATATTTTCTCATATTAAATTTCATTTTATTCATACCTTATGAATGATACATTTATATGAATTTTACAATTATATGCATTTCATGTTATTTAATTACAATTTATAGAGAGAAAATTTGAAACTTTCATTCATATTCAACGCTGAATAATGATATTTCAATTTATGTTAATACTTCTTAACAAATTATTAATAATCTAAAATTTTTTGATATATTGTGTTAGCTAAAAGTTTAAAAAATAATTACTTTTTCTCGTGTAATATATGCAGAATCAAAGCATAAACGAATATAAATATGGAAAAATATATTATGTTGAATATTCACTTTAAAGAAAAGAAATATTTAACAACGCTGCTTTTAAACTTTATAATTTCTCAGAACCTCTGCACTTAAAAATGTTGAGTTTCAAGTTTATTTTTGCTTGTTCAACCAAAACATGTTTTCCAATAATGCACATCACGAATAGGAATTCAAATGAAATTTTATATACGTACAAACTTTTTTCTTTTAAAAACTGTTTCTCTAATTTTTTATGCTCGTAAAATAAGCACAAACGTAAAAATAAAAGTTTTCGTCATAACTGCAATTGAAATTGTTAGTTGTTATTCAATTTAAGAAAAAATAATTTATTTAATATGTTCATTTATTAATTTCAACTTTGATTTGTTAAGGTTATTATACACCCGTAAATTAATTTATTCAGAAGAATAATATATTTAGTTTCTCACAGTAACGGACTGATAATATTTATTAACACCGTCCTTTTCTTTACGGAGCATCAAATTCTTCAAGAGAATATGAATTATTGATTTGAACTACCGTATAGTGTGTTGAAACAACAATTGGAACCTTGGAGCACTATATACCCAAGCATTCTAAACAAGCAAACCAATACATAATTATTCAATGACCAAACAAAACAAATATAATTGAATAACTGATGAAAATTTGTTTTCCTACATACAACATCCTATACAAGGACTGGAACGTTAGTATTTACAAGAAGAGATCGCTAAAAGTGCTACCCGGAATTTCAGTAAAAGTAGAAACTGTGCAAAATTCGTATGAGCAGCACACAGCCAACTTCCTTATTATACGAACTCGCACTTTTCCCTTAGTTTCGCATTGTTACTCACCCGTTCGCCCCTTTTGAGTCAACATCTATACGTCATCGTTCGCACACGCGGTGCACGCATCCGCGCGCGTGCGTACATAACCTCAGTTGGGCAGTAAGTATGCGTTTGTATGTGTGTGCACGAGCGGCGTGCGTAAAGTAATATATATGTGCATATACATGTATATGATACGTATATACGCACAACATGCATGGGACAAGAGAGGACATGTGTACTACACACATGCAGACACGCATCTGTCAAAGCACGCCTCTCTTACCATCGTAGACTTTCTTAGGATCTGTTTTACCATCTCGACGACAGCCATCCCTGACGTTCCGACACTTTCCCTCTTTCAATCGCCGCTCGTGACACACAGAACCAAAGAAAAGAAAAGAAATACCGATGCAACGTGTCGTCGTCCCGTTCATTTCTCGTTGCGTTATTACTCACTTGCCGATAATCTCGCAGAGCTCGTAAACCTCGTCGAAGAGAACCTCGTCGTCCGCCATAGTGGCGACGAGGAGGTCGAGGAAGTCGACCGAACGAGGATGCTGAACGCGCCAAAAGGCGCGTCGAAGCTATACGAATTCGTAATAATTCGGAAAGGCGTGCAGGATACGGGTTCCTCTCCTCCGGTGGTCTCGGCTGACGTCCGTTATTTCGGGTCGTTTCGTGCAGAATATGCGGGCGGCGTGAACGTAGCCAGGTATCGTGGATTCACGGCCGCCTCTCCTCCTCCCACTCTCCGTGACGGGCCGACGGCTATCTCTTTCGTTCCCGTAACAGTAACGAATTTGTTTTCCTCTACGCACACGTTACGCACATACACACATCTATATGTACACAGTCGTGGATGATACACCCGTGTAAGCACGCCCGACCGTTGTCGCACTGGCACTCGATCAGTAGACACGAGTTCGGAACCGTATAACCGAGCTCTGTATTTTAACCCAAAATCCGTACGTGGTTAATTCTTGACTGGTTCCCGGTGCTGGTGTCAGTACACACACCGGATCGACACCGCCTTCGAGCCTCCTCAGCCTATTCACGCCGGCAAAGTCAGCACACGGAACCGGACGGAAAATACGTTGTACGTAGTACGGCCGTTTTACACGATCGTGTTGGCTATGTCTCGGCCACGAAGGAAACCGAATCGGGCCGAATCGGTTGCCCCGTCGGAACAGCCGGGCCCGTACAATTGACAAGGACCGACCAGCAAGAAGCGGCCAGACGGACACCGATGCCCACTGCACACGCTCTCCCCCGTCTGTCAAAAGCTGGAGGAGTAGATTCACTCGCTCCGAAGCAAGACTAGTTGCATAAAACGCGGCGAGCGACTGCGCCGACTAACAGCTTCTCCTCCGACCCCGCTGACTAACCGTTCCGCTTGGGGGGAGCGGGCGTGGCGCCGCTTCGCGTGCAACCTTTGGCGCTTTAATGCACTATATCTTTCGCTTCGTTCCTTCATACGCAATACTCGCCAAGCGTATGTAACGCTACCCGTTCAGCGCGCAAGTAATGCTCCCGGGTACCTCGGACCATCGGCATATATGGTTACTCCGATGATAATCGATGCAAATATCGACTGAACTCGCATATCCGTAAATACGTATACAACAAATCTACGAACATGACTCTCGTTTTGTACGTAAGCGAGTGTGATTATTTTCGTTGTGAAACCAGTTCAGGAAGAATTATCGTCGAAATGATCGCAGTCGATGTATCGACAGTCGGAATAGAGAATTTTAACCTGTTCCGCAAATGAGCTGTAGAACCCTGCGTCCGGCATGAGGTAAACTGGTTAATATCTGTAAAAATATATTCTCAAATGAGCTGAATCAAATACGTATTGACATATCAAATATGTTTGATATCAACTTTCCTTGATTATATTGTACAATGCTCTAATCAACTGATTATTTGAATGTTTACTGTTCAGATTTATTATCGTAAATATGATAGTCCTTCGAAGGCTTCTTCCAGTAGTTCCTGCTGCCCGAAAACGGCTAGCGTGACAATCGCTCTGTTTTGACCCCAGGACTTGCGAACCGCGTGCGTTTTGATTGCCGTGAATTTCACTTCCTCTTCAAGATGTTTCAAATGTTTGTGATCGTATCCTTTCAAGATTATTATTGTGCGTCTGTTATTGCACAATGAGCTGAATGTATTATATGCATTCAAGGAAAAATGAACGTTACGTCGAAACTTAAAATTCATCCTTACCCTGACAGCAACCATGCCTCAATGTATTCAGATTTTACGTGATCAGAATCCAGAGCAGCGTAAAGTGCAATTAATCCTTGCGCTATCTAAAATTAATGAATTAAATATCATAAAACGCATTACACGCATTAATAATTGCTAATGCTTAAATTTCGTGTAATCCTTACTAATGCTGCTGCCGTACCCTGATTCATACGCAGGTTAGTATTAAGAATTGAATAAAACGCGTATTCTGATGGTCTAACTAAAGACGCAGCGCCGTTACAGAGCTTCTTGGAGTTTCTGGGAAATCGATTTTTTTGCTTTTTACTTGTTTTCCCATTCTTTCTACAATTAAATGGATGATAATCCATAAATTTTAATCGTATTTTACATTTCGTTTAGCGACAGATGTTTTCATGGAATTAAAATACCGCAGATAGAAATAATTCACTGATTGTTTACAAATTGCTATTGACAGTTTTAGTTGTACCTGTTTGCACATTTTCGTATTTTTTTGTTCCGATATTTCATTATAGGATGAATCCCATGAACTTGAAAGATTGTAGTAAATATTGCTCCCTACATTTTAACGTAAGTTTTTCTCATGGCCTAAATAAATATAAAAGAAATATTAACGTTAGATTCGAAGAATTTACGATCTATCAATCTTTTAAAAAATGATACCTAATAAGCAGAAGGATATTTTTTTTTAAATTGTTGCAATATGTTTAGTACAAAATATTTGAATAGTGCAACAAAATGTCTGCAGGTCAGTATTGTATTTTCAAGAAGTGCATGTTATTTAATTAAAATTAATAATAGCGTCTGGTGGAAATATGTGTGTGCATATCGAACCTTGATAATAACGATGAGTTAACTACGGTATGAAGAAGAAAACTGTTTCATCGTCTGCTATACATTCTTTTTTAATCTCCACGAAAACATTTCACTTTAACGGTGCCAAGATTACTTTTTTTGTCATTTTAATTTATCCGTAATATTTCCGATTTAATTATATATCCAATGAAATCTAGAAAAAATGTTTTATCTTTCGTTATCGACTTAACTGAAATTATATTCAAAATGCAGGTATCGTTACCTCGCAAACAGTATATATCGATCTTTCGAATAGCCGGCAATTTCAGGGTAACCGTATAGTGTTTGGTACGTTTAGGTTAGAGTAACTATTTTCATAATTAAAAATATTCGTTGAAAATCTAAATGTCATGTGATTAATACGGTATTTTTCGATGTTGATAGTGATTAATATTCGAATGCGACTTTACTGAAGATAACTAAATTATTTCGTGGAAAATCAGTGTATGTTAAGAAGTGAAGATTGGCAGAATATCTACCAACTGTGCTGTCAAATGATTTTTATACGACTTTGATAAGGAAAGACAAAAATAAGTACAGAGTACAAGAAGACCTCCGAAATATTTCATACAGTGAAAATGGCTGCAAATGAACCAGGTGTATCATCATATTCCAGAGAGGACAACAATTGGAGAAAAGATTTAATTTTACAACTTCAAGAAAGAAATAGAAGGCAAACATATTGTTTTGCTGATCTCATTAGTTTACGTAAGGTTTCATAAGTTATATATCTTAATGTAATTATTTTTAAATATAATAGATGAGGTTATCACCACTTTTATTCCTGTTATTTTAAAATACAATATTAACGTAAGAATTTGTTATATATGTTTGAAATTACAGATAACCGGCTCTTTGAAAGTGCAAATACATTACGTGGAGAAAATATTCAGTTAACTATAGCAAATGAAACTTTACGGCGCAATGCGTACAGCGGGACTCCTTTATCAGGTGCTAATGCTGATCTCGAGGCTCGTCTTTTAAAACAAGCAGAGGAATTAGCAACATTACATAAAAGGAAAGGGGAACATACACAGCAAATAGTAGATCTTAATAATAAATTACAAGAATTGACAAAAGAATTTCACGCAAAGGAAGTTAGGTAAATATTTTTCTGTGTTATTTGAATATTAAAATAATCTACATTTTCTCTAATTGTTGTGTGAAAAACATGTTTAATAAACTACTAAAATACTATATTACTAAAACTTACAGCCTTGCTGAAAGTATGGAGCTCAATGCTAGTTTACGTTTAGAAATAACTAAATGCCTTAGCAGAGAAAGAGAGCTAGAAAGTATTAATCAAATGCTGAAGGACGAGCATCAAGCATTACAACTTGCTTTTGCATCTTTAGAAGAAAAACTTAGGAAAGCACAGGTATTTGCTTGTATCTCAAGATAATTTTCATTTGAGAATAACTATTATTAAGGTCATGTAAGATCATAAATTCCATTAAATTATACTTCTATATCCTAAAAATTATGGTTATTTTTAGGAAGAAAATCGTCAATTAATAGAACGCTTAATTAAATACAAGACTCGGGATGCTGAAAAAGTGAATGAAGAAAATGATAACTTTTTGAAGTAAGTATTCATAAACTTATTCAACTTATTAATTATTCACTAATATGTTTTTTTTACAATTAACGTGTTCCGTGTATATTTGTATATCATGGTTGTAAATAACGTATTGATACTTTTTCCTTTTGATGCATATTTTGTGTTGATGAGTAGAAAATCTATAGATTAATTGGTGTAGTGAAAAGTAGTTATAACGTACATTTCTACACATAGGATATTATAAATGCACTAACTTTTTTTCTCGAACGATTTT